AAGAGTGAAATTCCATTTATTGAAATATATTCCAAAACGTTATAACTCCTTTAACTAATTTTATATAAATAATCTAATTTATGGTGATATATTACATAATAAAGTAAATGACGCTGTCTGTTACGTGATATGATTACGTGAATGACGTGACAATGAGAAGTACACAAATTAATTGGAAAACTTGAATGCTTGAAAGTATTAAGTTGGAATTTTTTACAAACCATAAGCTCGTTTTTTTTTTTTTTTTTCTACAGATGCCAGCACCAACAACAGCAGAATGTCAAGCTAAATGGACAGTATGGGAACCTTGGTCAGTATGTACAGATACATGTGGAGCTCATGGAAGTCGACAACGTTTTCGTAGTTGTCAACGAACTCGTGCGGATTGTTTTTGTCCTGGGTATTTTTTTTTTTTTTTGAATGTTTAATTTCTTACTGTAAACATTTGATAATGATTGCTATGATGCAATTTTTATGTAAGAAAATTGGTGAATAATTAACTAATATATATTTATTTGTTTATCATTATCATTGTTAAAATTCCAAACTAATTAAAATAATTAGAATAGATTGCTGGACATTAGTATATATCATATTTTCAATTATAACATTAAATCAACATAATAACGATATGATAATGTAAACACATGCATATATATGCTTTATCACAATCATTTTATTTGTCTGCTAATTTATCAATTACTTTATCACATTTGTATCATTTGCATATGCTCAGTTTTTTTCTTACACTTACAATTTAATCAATTAATTAAATTGTATTTAGCAATTTTGGCATTATTAATTTTCCTCAAAAGAAGTGAGATAATTTTACTATATTCGACATACAATTACATTATTAATAAAAGTAGTAGTAATTTAAATTTCCGGACATTTCTAATCATTTATATTAAACTGTTATACTTTACACTTTATATTTCACTTCCCACTAAATTATCATGCATGAATTGCAGCGTAAAAAAATTACTAATAATTGAGTAATATAAAGATAACAAAGACAAATATTATTCAAAATTTCAAGTGAATTTAAAATAAAACTTTCTTAACTTTCTTAACTAATAATAAAAAATTGGTTAATAATAAAATTTGAAATTCGACTAATAATAAAGTTGACTTAATGGTTAATAATAAAATCGATTAATAATAAAGTTGACTTTTTTATATGTTTCATATTTTTATTAAAATTAAAGATCAAAAATATC